CAAGTTCAGTTCATAAATAAGTCAGCAACTGAACTCAACTGAAACATATGTATTTGTTTCACAGCAAGTCCAGTTCCAGATCCGATTACAACTGCTCCACCTACAACCACACCATCCAAAGCAACAACAACACCTGCAGCCCCTGAACCCACTTATATTCTCTCAGCAGAATTTAAAGAAGTGGCTTTTTCATCTGCCCTCACTGACTCCAACAGCGATGAATACAAAGCACTTGAAACAGCAGCTCGAAATGCGGTGAGAGCATTTTCAAAATAAACATCTGTTATTGATTGCAGAATCAATGTGAAAAAGATGATTGAACAGAATGTGTTTGCCCAAAGAATACATTTGTTTAAATAAAAAGATATATTCAGTTGACCTGGTGTAATTTCAATTGTTAAAAAATGTGCTTGAAATGTACTTATGGTCTTTGAATGTTGTTTTCTTTTCACAGTGTAACAATGAATACAGAAGCATGTTTCCAAACACGTTTTCCCACTGCATTTTGAAAAACTTCAGGTAAATGAAAAATCAAAGTGTGCGTCTCTGATTGAATTCTATATGAAGGGTTGAGAACTTAACATTGGTAACTTCCAATCGTGATGGAATCATAAGTTATAACCACCTATTTAAAAAAGAAACAGGATCATCTCATGTCATAGTATAACACTTCTTCCTCTCTTTTCTATGATATAGTGCCTTAAATCCACCAAAAGACAACGAAACTCAAGCAACTGTGGGGATTGTGTTCCAAGGGACTACTGCCATTGCAGATCTCCCACAGAATTATGTTGTTGCTCAAACCTTAGTAGAAGCTCTGAATAATTCCACCAATAGTCCTAATCTGAGCATTAACCCTGCTTCAGTCAAAGTATTAGGTAAGTTAACACATCACAATGAATCGTCCTTTCTGATCAGTGAATTCAACATTTGGTTAGTACTAACATATCCTTTTAAATATGTATTTGTTTCACAGCAAGTCCAGTTCCAGATCAGATTACAACTGCTCCACCTACAACCACACCATCCACAGCAACAACAACACCTGCAGCCCCTGAACCCACTTATATTCTCTCAGCAGAATTTAAAGAAGTGGCTTTTTCACCTGCCCTCACTGACTCCAACAGCGATGAATACAAAGCACTTGAAACGACAGCTCGAAATGCGGTGAGAGCATTTTCAAAATAAACATCTGTTATTGATTGCAGAAGCAATGTGAAAAAGATGATTGAACAGAATGTGTTTGCCCAAAGAATACCTTTGTTTAAATAAAAAGATAAATTCAGTTGACCTGGTGTTATTTCATTTAGGGAAAAGTGCGCTTGAAATGTACTTATGGTCTTTGAATGTTGCTTTCTTTTCACAGTGTAACAATGAATACAGAAGCATGTTTCCAGACACGTTTTCCCACTGCATTTTGAAAAACTTCAGGTAAATGAAAAATCAAAGTGTGGTTCTCTGATTGAATTCTATATGAAGGGTTGAGAACTTAACATTGGTAACTTCCAATCGAGATGGGATCATTACCACCTATTTAAAAAAGAAACAGGATCATCTAATATTATAATATAACACTTCTTCCTCTCTTTTCTATGATACAGTGCCTTAAATCCACCAAAAGACAACGAAACTCAAGCAACTGTGGGGGTTGTGTTCCATGGGACTACTACCATTGCAGAGCTCCCACAGAATGATGTTGTTGCTCAAACTTTAGTAGAAGCTCTGAATAATTCCACCAATAGTCCGAACCTGAGCATTAATCCTGCTTCAGTCAAAGTATTAGGTAAGTAAACATAACAAATTATTTTACCATCATCATTTTGTAATACATTTGGAATAGAATGTGCCGCTCAAGCTCAGTTCATAAATAAGTCAGCAACTGAACTCATACTGAAAACCTCAACAATATTCAGTGTTGTACAGTCCTATCCATGCATGACGAGCTCTTCTCCAAACTATCTTATATTCAGTAAGAAAGCTTTTTAATTGAATAATCTCTTATTTACTGATATATATCGTTACTCATCATTCACTAAATAAGATAATAGAATGTTTGCAAAGGCTACTTTTTGAAATCCTTTTATTATGGTTCTTATTGGTCTGTGAAACTGTAACCAAAGTACATTTTACATCATACAAGGATAAATATATCCTTTGAGTGTTTGCACTAAAATGTATTCACATATTGTTAATATATTTGTTTTACAGCAAGTCCAGTGCCAGATATAATTACAACTGATGCACCAGCAACCACACCAGTTGCAGCAGCAACAAACACAGCAGCTCCGGATCATAGTTATGTTCTAGACATAGAATTGATAGGAGAACCTTTTTCCCCTGCCCTCACTAACACCAACAGCAAGGAATACAAAGCACTTGAAAAAAGAATTTTAAATGCGGTGAGTGCATTTTCAAATCGCACAAATGTAAATGAATTGGTTTGAACGTGAATGAACAATCGGATGGAAAGTTTAAGATGTCAATGAAAGCTAATCATGGCCTTTTAATGTTGCATATCTTCATAATTGCCTTTTAGAAAACTGTGCTTGAAAGCTAATCCTTCAATGTTGTTTCTTTTTGCAGTGTGGTGAAATATACAGAAAAACATATCCCGAAACATTTTCCCACTGCCTTTTGAAAGAATTCCGGTAAATAAATATTTGTGATTTGAGTTCTTCTCTGACTATTTATTTATTTAGTCTCTAACATGTGTATCTTCTAATATTGGTAGTTAATCATACATATCAAAAGACAATATTATAATCTCATATTACTTTCCTCATTGTGTTTCTGATACAGTGCCTCAAATGTAACACGAGTTACTGAAACTCGGGCGACTTTTGCAGCTCTGTTCCATGGGAATACTTCTTATGCAGATCTCCCAATGAATTCTGCTGTTATTAAAGAATTCGTACAAGCTGTCAATAATTCCGACAATGCCTTCAACTTGAGCATAAATCCCAACTCAGTCATGATATTAAGTAAGTATCCACAACACAATATTTAGTCATTTTCAGATCGTAAAACATATAGAAAACATGAGGTTCTTATGCTCTGTTTATAAATAAATCACCTAAATGATTCTACTTTGAAACTAAATTAAGGTAAAGATTATTGAAGACAACATCCAAGCATGATAATCAATTCGCTTAACTACCTTGTATTTAAAAATAATAATGGAATTGTTATTAACTGCACTGTTATTTCAAATCAGCTACTTCAAAATTAGATGATATGACTCTGCTAAACCAATTTTTGTTTTACAGACAGTCCAGTTGAAGATCCGATTACAACTGATGCACCAGCAACCACACCAGCTGTAGCAGCAACAAACACAGCAGCCCCGGATCATAATTATGTTCTAGACATACAATTGATAGGAGAACCTTTTTCCCCTGCCCTCACTAACACCAACAGCAAGGAATACAAAGCACTTGAAAAAAGAATTTTAAATGCGGTGAGTGCATTTTCAAATCGCACAAATGTAAATGAATTGGTTTGAACGTGAATGAACAATCGGATGGAAAGTTTAAGATGTCAATGAAAGCTAATCATGGCCTTTTAATGTTGCATATCTTCATAATTGCCTTTTAGAAAACTGGGCTTGAAAGCTAATCCTTCAATGTTGTTTCTTTTTGCAGTGTGGTAACATATACAGAAAAACATATCCCAAAACATTTTCCCACTGCCTTTTGAAAGAATTCCGGTAAATAAATATTTGTGATTTGAGTTCTTCTCTGACTATTTATTAATATAGAGTTCAACATGTGTATCTTCTAATATTGGTAGTTAATCATACATATCAAAATACAATATTATAATCTCATATTACTTTCCTCATTGTGTTTCTGATACAGTGCCTCAAATGTAACACGAGTTACTGAAACTCGGGCGACTTTTGAAGCTGTGTTCCATGGGAATACTTCTTATGCAGATCTCCCAATGAATTCTGCTGTTATTAAAGACTTCGTACTAGCTGTCAATAATTCCAACAATGCCTTCAACTTGAGCATAAATCCCACCTCAGTCATGATATTAGGTAAGTATCCACAACACAATATTTAGTCATTTTCAGATCTTAAAAAATATAGAAAACATTAGGTTCTTATGCTCTGTTTATAAATAAATCACCTAAATGATTCTACTTTGAAACTAAATTAAGGTAAAGATTATTGAAGACAACATCCAAGCATGATAATCAATTCGCTTAACTACCTTGTATTTAAAAATAATAATGGAATTGTTATTAACTGCACTGTTTTTTCAAATCAGCTACTTCAAAATTAGATGATATGACTCTGCTAAACCAATTTTTGTTTTACAGACAGTCCAGTTGAAGATCCGATTACAACTGATGCACCAGCAACCACACCAGCTGTAGCAGCAACAAACACAGCAGCCCCGGATCATAATTATGTTCTAGACATACAATCGATAGGAGAAGCTTTTTCCCCTGCCCTCACTAACACCAACAGCAAGGAATACAAAGCACTTGAAAAAAGAATTTTAAATGCGGTGAGTGCATTTTCAAATCACACAAATGTAAATGAATTGGTTTGAACGTGAATGAACAATCGGATGGAAAGTTTAAGATGTCAATGAAAGCTAATCATGGCCTTTTAATGTTGCATATCTTCATAATTGCCTTTTAGAAAACTGTGCTTGAAAGCTAATCCTTCAATGTTGTTTCTTTTTGCAGTGTGGTAACATATACAGAACAAAATATCCCAAAACCTTTTCCCACTGCCTTTTGAAAGCATTCCGGTAAATAAATATTTGTGATTTGAGTTCTTCTCTGACTATTTATTAATATAGAGTTCAACATGTGTATCTTCTAATATTGGTAGTTAATCATACATATCAAAAGACAATATTATAATCTCATATTACTTTCCTCATTTTGTTTCTGATACAGTGCCTCAAATGTAACACGAGCTACTGAAACTCGGGCAACTTTCATAGCTGTGTTCCATGGGAATACTTCTTATGCAGATCTCCCAATGAATTCTGCTGTTATTAAAGAATTCGTACAAGCTGTCAGTAATTCCAACAATGCCTACAACTTGAGCATAAATCCCACCTCAGTCAAGATATTAGGTAAGTATCCACAACACAATATTTAGTCATTGTGAGATCGCAAAAAAAATATAGAAAACATGAGGTTCTTATGCTCTGTTTATAAATAAATCACCTAAATGATTCTACTTTGAAACTAAATGAAGGTACAGATTATTGAAGACAACATACAAGCATGATAATCAATTATCTTAACTACCTTGTATTTAAAACCAAAATAATAATATTAAAGGAATTGTTATTAACTGCACTGGTTTTTCAAATTAGCTAGTTCAAAACTAGATTATATGACTCTGCTAAACCGATTTTTGTTTTACAGACAGTCCAGTGACAGATCCAACTACAGCTCCCACACCTAGACCTGTTGCACCTAACACTGTTGCAGCTGCGATTACTACTACTACTGCTGCACCCATAACTAAAGCACTCGTTATAAAAAGGGTGATATTCAGTTCCCTTCTCACCGACTTTACAAGTGACTTGCTGAATCCATCATCTACAGCTTATATAAATCGGGCAGCGAAGATTAAAGAACAGGTACGTCTCACTCTAAGAATGATCTCTGAATATTGAATAAGGACAGCTCAAGTACACACTGTCACACTCAAAGAATACAATAAATAAAAACTCACAAAACAGTCAATTTATAATATATTTTCGTACTTACATTTCCAGAATGAATTGTTGACAGAGATGTATATGACGACAAATAAATGCTCTCATATGTTCACAGTTCAATGTTAATGTAAATGTCGAGAGTAAAGTAAAAAGTTGTATACCTTTGTATTTTCCTCTGTTTACAAACGGTTTCCTGTTTCTGCAGCTTACACCTGTTTTTAAAAGGGAATTCCCTTCATTCAAGTTCTTGGAAGTGAAATCATTCAGGTACATTTTTTTATGACAGTTAATGAATACTTAATGAATAGTGGCCTAAATCTGATATTTCAAACATTAACGATTTTTTCTTCTGCAGTAATGGATCGATCGTCAACAACATGGACCTCAGCTTTTCAAGCACATCTGTTCCTAATAACGATCAGATAGCGCAGGTCTTAATGAGCGCAGCTGCAAGCATCATCGGCTTCGACATTGAAGGCAGCTTCCTCAACCTGAATGGCATTTGTAAGTCAAACTGAGTTAATCAACAGTGCAGTCAAAAGATGCACACTTGTTTAACTAAAGTTTGTTTCATTCTTCTCCTTTCAGATTCAAGTGGAGTGAGCCATTACATCAGTCCGATCACTGCATCCTTCCTTGTACTGTTGTCATGGCTACTGTCCAGCCAATGGCCGTAGTGCCACTCATTTGAGAAATGACTCCGGTGTCTTACATGATTTACAGATTTGGGTAACACATGCAATGCAATTAATGTTAATCCCCCATTAAAATAGCACAATAATAATAATAATAGGCATAACAATATAACATTGGGATGTAAGGCAATAATTGCACTAATAATAATTAATCTTGCTCCAGTAAGCACTTTCCTTTAGCATCATTTTTCTTAGTGAAGGTTATTTAAATGCTATATGTTTTAGTTTTGGAAGTAACAAATGCAGCTCCTTGTGGGCTACACTTTCCAACTCAGAACAAATGCATACTGTTTTATAATCATATTCTTTGTATGTCATAGCAATGCACTGTTAATTTTCTTATTTATACACACTATTTATTTATATAATCATGCACACTGTATTCTGTTAGATTTCCTGTTTGCTAAATTATTTCTGTCTGAAACTAACAATGACCAGAATACAAACTCTTCTAAGAAATGCATGTGTCTCTCTTTTTCTTTTTGTAATTGTTGGTGTGTAAATCAATAATCAGGCAGGTTTAATGTAAGGCAAGGCAAGTTTATTTATATAGCACCTTTCAACACAAGGCAATTCAAAGTGCTTTACAAAAAGGAAAGACATTAAGAAAATGGCATTTAAAAACAGTCATTAAAAAGCAAAGATAATAAAATAAACATTAAAAGAAAAAATACATGAATAAAAGTTACAGTGCAGTTTAAGATATGAATAGTTCAATTCAAAGTAGCGGCAAAAAGAAAAGTCTTCAGCCTGGATTTAAAAGTAGTCAGAGTTGCAGCGGACCTGCAGATTTCTGGGAGTTTGTTCCAGATATTTGGAGCATAATAACTGAACGCTGCTTCTCCATGTTTAGTTCTGACTCTGGGGACAGAAAGCTGACCAGTCCCTGAAGACCTGAGAGATCTGTATGGTTCATAATGTAGCAGTAGATCAGAAATGTATTTTGGGCCCAAACCATTCAATGCTTTATAAACCAGCAGCAGTATTTTGAAATCAATTATTTGACATACAGGAAGCCAGTGTAAAGACTAGAGAACAGGAGTGATGTGATCCACTTTCTTAGTGTTAGTGAGGACTCGAGCAGCAGCGTTCTGAATCAGCTGCAGCTTTCTAATAGATTTTTTAGTGAGACCTGTGAAGACACCATTACAGTAGTCGAGTCTACTGAAGATAAAAGCATGGACAAGTTTTTCCAAATCCTGCTGTGACATTAGTCTTTTAATCCTAGATATATTCTTAAGGTGATAGTAGGCTGATTTAGTAATTGCTTGAATGTGACTGTTTGATGTGGGCTGGCATGATCCTTCCTGCAGCCATAAAAAAGACAACAAAGAAAATCTTAGAAAATAATAGTAATGATGATAATAACAATACTATTAGTATAACTATTCATAAAGTACTTATACAATTACAAAGTGCTTCTCACAATAAAAATAAAGAACATTACAATAACAACAATAAGAAATAAAAAACTAAGCATTAGAGAAGTTAAGAGAGAAGGAAATGATTAAATGGTGAAATGTTGTAAACAGTCCAACTTATAAATATGCTTTAGTAAATCTAATAGATTGAGGGATAAATTGCTGACATTCTGAGAGGCTGACTACAACAGTTAGGCTCAATGTCTCTTGATGAAGAAATATAAAGAAGCAGTTCCAATAGATGCTGTTGTAATAATCAAGTTGGTATGATATGATAGGTTCAGATTTCTACCTTTTTGTGTTGGAGCATTTGGTTTATTGATTGCTGACAGCATGAAGAATTTCTACAAATATAAGAAAAACGTTTTGAACGTTACAAATCCCAGTTTTATTAAAATCACTAGCAATAAAGGATTTATTAAAACAGAGATAAAGCTTGAACTGTAAAACAACTTACCACTATTTACCTCTGTCAGGGATCTGATTAGAAGGGTTGACTATTAGGACAGCAAAGAGGTGGAGGAGGTCCATGTCACGTACAACCATTGGTAGATATAACACCTGAAAGAAAGATTAAGGAAATAAGACAAGACAGGAGGAAATATATCCTATTAGCTAAAAGACAATATCATATCAAGCTTTAACTGTTTTACTCTTTTCAATTTACTGTTGCAAATAAAAATAAATAGGCTAAATTCACACTCAAAAACACAAATAACTGGTTGCCAAAGTGCTGTACCTCGTAGAACACATTCCACACACAGCAGCCAAGACTTGATTCCGGCAGGGCCCTTCGCTGCAAATCCTCTCCTCTTTCGCCACTGTTTCTTGTCGATCTCTACTGCCTCAGTCCGATAAAACAGAAATGCCCCAAAATAATCATCTTTAAAAGTAAAAAAAAACGTTTACTCAACGTATATGTCTGACCCAACTAATGTATGTTTCGCATCTCCTCAACAATGTTCTGTATGGTTGAAGCAGGTAGTAAAAACTGTCCCTGCATTTCAGGTAGAATAAACAGACGTTTCTAAGAAAAAGGTCACTGAAATGTTCTGACATATCCATATCATCTTCTTCTGTGCCTACCTCGTGCCCTTGTTGGCTTAAGTCATCTGATTCAGCTGGAATAGATGCTGACTGAGAAGAAGCAGCAGCTTCTCTGTATAAGTCACTGACTGTGCTCCCTGCAAAGTGTCTTGACTCGTTTGAGATGAGCGAGACCAACGCAGTCCTGCGCAATTGCGACTGCTGTCTTGCTAGTGCGTTGCATGATGGTTACTAATTTTGTCCGACTTGCTCTGGAGCATGGATATATAATAAGAACTGGATACAGCTTGGAAGGTGGGGCCTCGTTCATTCCTATGAGAGTTGCTCATTGGCGCATGAAGACAAAATGGCCCAAATTTTGAGAGAGCGAAACGTCACGAAAGTATTCATATAATCCGTTCTTATTGTGCATCCATGGGCAAAGGTAAAACTCATGTAGTACTCAACACGTCACATGAACGTGCCGGGCGGCGCGGTCCCGTGGGTTAGATGCGCATTCATAATGCAGAGGAAAATAACTCTCAGAATAACGTTATTAGCACATTTTACAACTTGAGGACCGAATGTTTTTAATAAGGGCTATACAAATGTTCATACTGGGTAGTTTATTTTTGTTTAAAAAAAAATAATCCAACGATTTACAGACGTCTCTTTCCCAATGTTAGACAATGGGAAAAAGTCTTTCCGGGCCCAGCGACTGATACGGAAGTGTAGTACCACCGTTTGGCCACAACGAATATTTTCCTCAGAGTCCGGCACACTTCCTGGGGGCTTGCTCTGGAGGCTCGACTGCATGAGACGTTGAAATATCGCGGGACAAAGACGCCGGCAGCCTTGAGAGCGAGGCAGAGCAGTTTCTCTCCATGAGCTGCAGAAGCGAAATGCTTGATGGGAAACGACTCGCTGGTATATCGAGCTGAGCGCTCATTGGTGGTTTTTACCCCGTGCTGGTGATGAAACTCTCCAATTGGCTCCGCAAAAGTTTGTTGTTGTTTTGTGTCAGTTTTACGTCGCCACTTCCATTCACATTTTTCATCATTGTTCCACAATGTTTATCATCATGAAATTAATATCTATATATTTTATACTATACTTGCACTGCTTACCGTTTTCATACTTTATATAACTTAGCATATTCATACACACCGTCAATACTGTTCATGGCTACTGTGTATATCTAGTGTATTCTATTCATACCCCTCACTGTTTATTCATCATTCAATTAATTCTATATTTTATTCTGTAGATTGTGTACATTACTTTTCACTTTACTGCTTTATGCACTCCTGGTTAGAAGCTAAACTGCATTTCGTTGTCTCAGTACCTGTAATCTGTGCAATAACAATAAAGTTGAATCTAATCTTGAGCAGGAACAAATGTATGTACTTAGTACATATCTGACATTAACGATTAAACACATTTGTGCATTCTTTGTCAAGGTTGAGCGAAGCAGGCAGGACCCAAACGCAGATTTAACAGAAAATACCTTTATTTAAAGGCTACAAGAAAAATACAGAGCTCTTCCCCGTGAACACAGTAAAAAACAAACAAGGATCTCACAAAGACCAACAGGAAAAACGAACCTAAATGCACACAGGACTAATCAAAGAAACAAGAGACAGGTGAGGAGGGAGGAGAAAACACAGGGGCACAAGGTGAACACAATCAGGAAATCAGGTAGGAGGGAACAGGTAGGAGGGAACACACAGACAGGAAACCAAAGACAGATCTAGACAAGACAAAACACAACACAACACAAACAGATCGTAACATTACCCCCCCCCCCCTCAAGGGACGGATCCCAGACGTCCCTAAAAACAAAAAGGCGTCGAAAGGCGAAACAGGTGTCGGCTGGACCCCCAACGGAACAGAACATGGGGTTGGCAGGACCCCCGGCAGAACAGTAGTCGGCGGGACCCCCAACAGGACAGGACACAGAGTTGGTAGGCCCCTCAGCGGAACCCCCAACGAAACAGGACAAGGAGTTGGCAGGACCCCCAGCGAGACAGGTGACGGCGGGTCCCCCAACGGAACAGGACATGGGGTTGGCAGGACCCTCAGCGGAACCCCCAACGAAACAGGACAAGGAGTTGGCAGGACCCCCGGCGAGACAGGTGACGGCGGGACCCCCAACGGAACAGGACACAGAGTTAGCAGGACCCCCAGCAGAACCCCCAACGGACCAGGACATTGGGTTGGCAGGACCCCCGGCAGAACAGTAGTCGGCGGGATCCCCAACGGGACAGGACATAGAGTTGGCAGGACCCCCGGCGAGACAGGTGACGGCGGGACCCCCAACGGAACAGGACACAGAGTTGGGACTTGAGAAGGGACTAGAGAAGGGAAATGAGAAGGGATTTGAGAAGGGACTTGAGAGGGGACTTAAGAGGGGACTTGAGAAGGGACTAGAGAAGGGACTTGAGAAGAGACTAGAGAAGGGACTTGAGAAGGGACTAGAGCAGGGACTTGAGAGGGGACTTGAGAGGGGACTTGAGAGGGGACTTGAGAAGGGACTAGAGAAGGGACTTGAGAAGAGACTAGAGAAGGGACTTGAGTAGGGACTGGAGAAGGGACTTGAGATGGGACTAGAGAGGGGACTTGAGAAGGGACTTGAGAAGGGACTAGAGAAGGGACTTGAGTAGGGACTTGAGAAGGGAATTGAGTAGGGACTTGAGTAGGGACTAGAGGAGGGACTAGAGGAGGGACCATGGCTGCTGGGGCCGGAACCAGGGCCTGCACCATGTCTTCTGGGGCTGGGACCATGGCTGCTGGGGCCGGGACCATGGCTGCTGGGGCCGGAACCAGGGCCTGAACCATGGCTGCTGGGGCCGGGACCATTGCTGCTGGGGCCGGTACTGGAGCCGGAACCAAGGCTTCTGGGGCTGGGACCATGGCTGCTGGGGCACGGGCTGGAATCCTGGCCTTGCGTTTCCTTCCATGCTGCCTTGAAGCCTTGTGGAGGCTCAGAGGTCCTCCAAAGGCCAGACGACACCCAGCGAAAGGGTCCTTGAAAGGAGCCTTGTTGGGAACTGTGGCCGGCAGGGGGCTAGCATGCCAGGGGCTAGCAGGCCGGGAAACAGGTTTGACCTCAAAGCTTCCAAAAAAGTCCTCCACCCACTCGGGTAGTAACTCCCTTAACCAGGGCCTTGAGGTTACTTATTGGCGTGCCGTAGAGATAATAGACTACCTCTCTTCACTACTGGAGGCATATCGACAGTCATTCTTCAAGCACATTAAATTGTACGTCACCTCGTACAGGCTGTCTGCTGGGTCCATTTTTGGTGAGATCCTTCTGTCAAGGTTGAGCGAAGCAGGCAGGACCCAAACGCAGATTTAACAGAAAATACCTTTATTTAAAGGCTACAAGAAAAATACAGAGCTCTTCCCTGTGAACACAGTCAAAAACAAACAAGGATCTCACAAAGACCAACAGGAAAAACGAACCTAAATGCACACAGGACTAATCAAAGAAACAAGAGACAGGTGAGGCGGGAGGAGAAAACACAGGGGCACAAGGTGAACACAATCAGGAAATCAGGTTGGAGGGAAGAGGTAGGAGGGAACACACAGACAGGAAACCAAAGACAGATCTAGACAAGACAAAACACAACAAAGACAGATCGTGACATTCTTTATAAATGCAAACCGAGTCAAGCCGACTCCGAGAGGAGAGACACCTCTGAAGATCAGAAGAGAGAAACTTGCTCTGTCATACTGGGTCAGGCTACAAGGAAGTGGAGAGGAAAATATCACAAACAGAATACTACAGGATTGCTGGGAATATACAAGTTCTAGGGGCGTGGGTTAGGCTGGACAAGTAAGGAGAGAACGAGGGCATATGGAGTGAAGACCATAAACTTTGCCAAAGCAAGCCCATTTAGCAGTGTTCCCCATGGCTTTTCCCAGAAGCTAATATAGATGTGAGTATCATAGAAAGGAAAAAATAGTGGCAAATAAATGAAGTGAGAATTAAAAGGAGTATGTACCTGAACGAAAAGTATTGCAATTACCTCAACATTTATACAGATGGATCTAAGAAGCAAGAATGGGTGGGGATAGGCATGTACTGTAGGAATGTTGCATGGGTTAGGGTTGAATGGCTTGTAATAGTTCAACTATTTTAGTTGGTGCTTGAGCTCTCTGATAAATAACCAGTATCGCCGGAGTTAAGAACTTAGCAGGGATTTATTCTCTGTAAACATCATCTTTGCTTCAATTTGTAAAGCTCCTGACAATAAACATACCGTGATACCCTTTGCCACCTAAATGTCAAAACATCACAAGAGAGACAAATTAATTTCTTTAAAAATGTTTTATTCCCGTCATTGTAAAGTTATTTCAGACAGAAATTGTGCAATGAACAGGACATCTAACAAAATACAGCTGTGCAAGATTGTATAAATAAATAGTTTTTATAAATAAGAACATGTCATGATAAAACAGTATGCATTAGTTCAGTGTTAGGATGTGCAGCCCACAGGGAGCTATTTGTTTTCCTTTATAATTAAAAAATACATTATTAAAAACCATCACTAAGAAAGATAGTTCTAAAGGAAAGTGCTTAGTGAACATAATTTACATCTACATCCCAAGTTATACTGTTATGCTTAGTATTCAAGCTGTACAATAATTAATACACCAGAGTAGTTTTTCAGTGATGGAAATCAGCACTACTGCCATTGTTGGCTTGACAGTAGCCATGACAACATTGCTAGGCAGGATGCGGTCATGAGACTGATGTTATGGCTTACTCCACTTGAAGCTGAAAATAAGGATAAGAACAAACATTACAATTGTGCACCTTTTGACTGCACTGTTGATAAAGTAGCACTAAGCATGACTTACTTAGGCCATTCACGGAGATGGAGCTCCCCTCAATGTCAAAGCCGGTGATGCTTGCAGCTGCGCTTATTAAAACGCTTGCAATCAGAAAATCATCTGAATTAGTAGGTGTGCTCGAAAAGTAAACATCCATGGTGTTGACGATCAATCCATCACTGCCAAAGTAAGAACAAAAATGTCTTTGAAAAATCTGATTTAGGCCACTTTTCCAAAATTGTGACTGGACATGTCTTAACAAATTACCTGAATGACACCACTTCCAAGGACTTAAATGAAGAAGGGAATGCACTCTGGAAAACAGGTGTAAGCTGCAGAAACAGGAAACAGGTTGTTTACAGAAGAAACACATAATAAATGTAAGACGTAAGTGTAAGTGTTTGAATGTGTGCTTGAGCTCTGCATATTCATATACAGTAGGTATACATATACAGTAGGCTCATTTAAGAATGAGACGTACCTCTTCTTTAATCGTTGCAGCTCGATTTTTATAAGCTGTAGATGATGGATTCAGCAAGTCACTTGTAAAGTTCTTTAGAAGAGACCTGAATACCACCCTTTTTATAATGAGTGCTCCAGTAGTAGTTGCAGCTGCAACAGTGTTAGGTGCAGCAGGTCTAGGTGTGGGAGCTGTAGTTGGATCTGCCACTGGACTTGCTGTAAAAACAAATATATAGATCATATTTATTCGGTAAAAGTATTGGTTCCTATACCATCCATTGCCTTTTGCTTGTTTGATGAAAAAAACAATTGAAAAAATAATTAAAAGCTTTCAAAAAGTTGGTTTTGTAGACTTTCTGGTTATAAACTAGGTAAGTTAAAAAGAAAGAAATAATGCAATTCATTAAAAATATCTTTTGTTTATTGTCTCTATTTGCTTTTTGTAACATAATAACTGATAAAGCAAAATATTATGTTGTGGATACTTACCTAATATTGTGACTGAGGCGGAATGTATGCTCAGATTGAAGCCATTGTCGGGATTGTTTACAGCTTGTACGAAGTTTTTAACAACAACAGAATTCATTGGGAGGTCTGCTTGAGAAGTATTCCCATGGAACACAACTGCCATCGTCACTTGAGTATCGGAAATTCGTGGATTTACGGCACTGCATCATTAAACCAAATGGGAAAAGTTAAATCAGATCATTCTGTTGCCTAGTATGCTTAACTATCACAATTAGAAGACATATATTCTACGATCAAAATCCTGCATATAAAGTGCAAGTTTAACGTTTTAGAAATTTTTCTTTACCTGAATCCTTTCAAAGTGCAGTGGGAAAATGTTTTGGGATATTTTGTTCTATATGTTTTATCACACTGCAAAAAGAACAAACATTGAAAGGACTTGATTAGCTTTCAAGCACAGTTATTATCTTAAAATATTGGCTTAAACATTCTGTATGATCATGCAATCACAATTACTGAGACATTTATCAACATGTGTGTGAATTTATATTGCTCTCACCGCATTTAGAACTTTTCCTTCAAGTGCTTTGTATTCAGGGCTGCTGGTGTTAGTGAGGGCAGGTGAAAAAGCTGGTTCTGTCAATCTTGCTGAGAGAAAATATGTAGGTGCAGAGGCTACTGTGTTTGTTGCAGCAGGTGTTGTTGGTGCAGTTGTTATCTTATCTGGAACTGGACTTGCTGTGAAAGAAATATTTAAAGAATATGTAAATATGTTTTGGTACCAATACCTAATCCTTGTATATTGTCAAACTGACACAGACCATTATAGTGAAATATTGAGTTGTGTTTACTTACCTAATACTCTGACTGAAGCAGGATTAATGCTCAGGTTAGGACTATTGGTGGAATTATTCAGAGCTTCTACTAAGGTTTGAGCAACAACATCATTCTGTGGGAGATCTGCAATGGCAGTAGTCCCATGGAACACAATCCCCACAGTTGCTTGAGTTTTGTTGTCTTTTGGTGGATTTAAGGATCTGTATCATAGAAAAGAGAGGAAGAAGTGTTATATTATGATATTAGATGATCCTGTTTCTTTGTTAAATAGGTGGTTATGATTTCATTAACATAGGAAGATACCAATTTTAAGGTCAGAATCCTTTATGTAGAAATCAATCAGAGAAGCACTCTTTGATTTTTCATTTACCTGAAGTTTTTCAAAATGCAGTGGGAAAACGTGTTTGGAAACATGCTTCTGTATTTCTTCTTACACTGCAAAAATAAAACAACATTAAAGACCATAAGTACATTTCAAGCACATTTTTCCCTAAATGAAATTTGACCAGGTCAACTGAATATATCTTTTTATTTAAAAAAAGTGATTCTTTGGTCAAACACATTCTGTTCAATCATCTTTTTCACATTCCTTCTGCAATCAATAACAGATGTAGGTAACACTTTATTTTGATAGTCCATAGTTAACACTCTATAAGTCATCAGTTGATATTCAACAGACATTCAACAACACTGTTTCAACAGACAAGTAACATGCATTCAACTAACTGCCAGTAGAATATAAGGTACATCTCAAGGTTGATTTATAGATTGTACAAAAAGTGTCTGTTGACTGTCAACATGTTTTTTGCAACAGGTTATTAACCGATATTCAACGTTACTATCTGTAGATTCTGTCAACATCTTCAAAATTGACAATCAACTACTCAAAATCTATCTGTCAGTTGAAAGTCAACAGGGTCATGTCGACTATCTGTTGATAATCTGTTGAGAGTCAAGATGTCAACTAAAGATTACATTAACCATTAGTTGATGATCAACAGATAAGTAACTTTAGAGTTTAGTTGACTATTACATTAAGCATTAATTGATGATCAACAGATAAGTAACTTCAGAGTTTAGTTGACTATTACATTAAGCATTAGTTGATGATCAACAGATAAGTAACTTTAGAGTTTAGTTGACTATTACATTAAGCATTAGTTGATGATCAACAGATAAGTAACTTTAGAGTTTAGTTGACTATTACATTAACCATTAGTTGATGATCAACAGATAAGTAACTTTAGAGTTTAGTTGACTATCTGTTGATTGTCAACTAATCTAGAGTTGACTATCAGTATACTTTTAGTAGGTTCTCCACTAAGCGTTTGTAGGCATGTGTTAGGACTATCCAATTAAAGTGAAAAACAGTTGAGAACAGTAGAAAGTCTATAACCTATCAACAGAACACATACAGTCATCCACTAATTATATGCAACAGACATGGGAATAAAGCGAAATCTTTTGCACAACTGATCACAAACACTGGATAACTGAAGTCAATACCAGGCTATAAAGCACAGTAGAACAAACATTATACACAGCATATCAGAGAAAGAAAGCTATTTTATTTTAATAATACACTACAAGTAAAAACACTGAACAGTTGTGAACCACATTCAATCCTACTAAAATCCTACATCTAAACGTAATTATTAACAGGTCGCAAAAATAGAATGCAAAAATAGAATGCAAAAATAGAATACAAAAAGGCTTAACAGTTTGCCTAAAACTGCAGGGCATGGTAGTTTTTCTCACTTTGGGATTGACCATACACAGCATATCAGAGAAAGAAAGCTTTTTTGTTTTAAGAATATACTACAAGTAAAAAAAACTGAACAGTTGTGAAATGGTAAAAAATAAAGTTTGAAACACATTATCTACCAGCTGGTAGTCATACCAGGCAAACGAAAAAAAATCACTGCACTGCAGATTTGTACAGTTTAATAACTATAAATACAATTTTATTTTGCTGTGTTCAGGACGTTTATGGGCATCAGCAAAGAGCCTTTGGGCCCAATGTGTGGGTCTAACCCCCAGCCAATTACCAGGGTGTAAAGCTCGATCAGTTAACAACACTAATTAGGCTACAGAAAGGTCCTAAACTTATCTGTGGTTACCATTCCCTATGTCCTTGATAAGTCTTCCAAGTACACCATGTTTATAGGTTCTTGCTAACCAGTAGGTCCACTCTATGAAGGAGAGCTGTTTTTTCAAGGTTTTCTCAGAACGATTCCCCCGCATAGGCCAAACTTCCCTCTTGTATGTCTGCCATGCTCTCTCAATATTTTGTGTATGTAGTCCTGTTTGTGGATCAACATAATTCTGGCTGTGGTTGACCCTGACATGCCTGTAGCCCTCCTGGGAAAGACTGGCATATGCTCTCCACTCATCACTCACAACAAGACTTTGAGGCTTGACATGCTTCTTGATGATGGGAACAAGGGTCTCCTTGTTTCTTCTCTTTACAAGGCGAAGAATGGGACGTCTGCTTGCAGCTTTGATCTCGAGTATACCAAACACCCACGATCTCTTTCTTCTCCAGGTGTTACCAAAGCGTCCTCTTCCATACTACCAAAAAACAGTATAAAAAAGTTTTTAAAAAAACAGTGTGAATATTATTACAAAATAATCTCTTGACTTTATGTTTAATCAATCTATTGTTAGTCAGGTGTAATTACCTTTTCATCTAAATCTGTTTTAAATTCCTTTTAACACAGTAAACATGCTTACAAAATGATTTGCTGGAAATGGATAATCTTCTCAAGGTCTAACCCGAAGGTTATCTTTTTTCTCCTCGACAGTTCATGAATTTGTGCTTTTATTTGTGTCACTATGACCACATTAGGAACCAGAAAATCTTGACTGAAATTGATTGAAAACAATTACCAAATCTTGTAGTCTTGACTCTGGCTTTGTGTGAATATTTAATTATTTATTCATTATGTATGTAATGTTTGAGTTAGGAACACCTGTTCCTGTTTTATTTGACTAATATATAAGATAAATACAGAAGCCTAATGCATTCACTTGAGGAAAAAAAGGTTATTCACGAGAACCTTTCCTGAAACAGAAAACGTTTATTTCTCACGTGTATGCATTACGCTTCCGTAAATAAACCCTCTTTAGGTTAAACAAATACAATAAAATGAGTATATCACATTTCACATAATCACATTTTTCATCAACGTTTTTTATTAACTGATTGACAGCTTTGGGGAGAGTGATATTCATTTCTGCCATTTCTTTTGTATATCCTATCTATGACTCTCCCCTCCCACCCACTCTCTATATCTATCCTAAATTATGATTCACATAATGATGTAAGCTCTTTCAGGTTATAGAAAATGTAACACATTTAGTCAGGTGTATTGCACATTTAAATTATATTACCTTGCGTTTGTGGCAGAATTTGCTCTCATCAATGTGGACAAGGACATTAACTCCACCGACTTTCTGCTTCTTTTTCTTTTGGTGCTTTCCCAGGCTTTTTACACAGATTCTTCTGAGTTTCTTTGACATCATGGAAAGTGTTGCTGAGCTCTTTGCAATGCCATCTTGAAGCATGTCAACTTGCCGTAGATGCAAACCCTGGGCAAATCTATCAAGGATTAACACAAATAATGAAATAAGGACAGTGCATTTCCCAAAGAAGAAAACATTTCTTTGATCAAGATATAAGTCACGAAGCATAATTTATACCGAGTATATTGTATTTGGGCCATTAGTTTTTTAACTAGCATCAATAACAAGCCATCCTGTCAATCAACCATCCTGTACAGGGCTGACTAAAACTGATGCTCATTGCAACACAGTGTCACATCTGGTTGTATAGATATAATCACCACCATACTCTTCTGTCAGAAGCCCACACTTATGATTTATAAGAAATCCTAATGCTTGAAAGCAGAAAAAATTAATACTTAAGAGCAGAAAAACAAAATATGGTCAACTTACAACATGATGAAATTAGCAAGAGCCAAAAGTCAAGTCAGAGAGTTTTTTTGTTACTGTAACATATCTGGCCAATCAAGGCAGGTTATATGACAGGATATGCTTTTGTAATATTCTTTCAGATTGACCATACATCCATGCCACCATAAATTATGATAACAGCATGTGCTGTAGTGCAAATGTACTCCATATACTCAAATGCACTCTACACATAGGCTACTGTAATCTATCAAATACTGTAATAAGATAATACCTTTGCATTGCTTACCTATGGATGTACTTCATCCATGCGAATAAACTGCAGTGTGATTGTGAGAAAAGTGACTTTGTCCTAACACTTCTCCTCAAACGTCCACATCTTTTACGTCGGCATTCCCTGTAAATTGCAGGACATCAAATTGTATGATAAACTGAACATTTTCTATGTGTGTGTTACGCACACATACACACTAAGTTGGATATATAAGTAATTCAAATAACAGCAGCTTATGTAAAAACCATGCTGTTTATGCAAGTAAGCCTAGTTCATGTCAGTGTCATTATCTATACTATACGCTGAAATAAATATCTTGTAACATTAGTTAGCTGGCTACTTGTCTAAATTGTATCTTGCCTCCATGGGTAGCTGAGGGAGAGAGAACAAAAATGTACATCCTAGAGCAGGGGTGGGCAATTATTTTTTCCATGGGGCCACATGAGAAACTGAAAATATTGTGGAGGGCCGGGCCAAAAGGCTGAACTCAATTCTGCATAATATTAATTGTATTTCTTTATAAAAAGCAGTAAATAGCATTGTTTTGACAAGCTGGTAAGAGTATATGTTATAGTTAAGCAATGAAAGAGTGAGGTTGCCTTACAAAAAAATGTCATTTATTAAATCAAATTTCCCAAAACAATGGTAAACAAAATGAACGTTTTTCACCATTTGTGACTCATATTAGTGAACATTTTCAGTCACATTCACTCAAACACATTTTGAGTTTCATTTACTGTTGGAAAGAGGTTCTTAGCATTCTAAAGACATCACAATATTGTCTTTGTACTCCAAATATTAAGCAAGATACATCATATTGAACTGTCACTAAACATCACTGAACTGTGATTTTGAGAAAAAGGCTTCCAAAGAAAGTGTCCCAGTTCACTGCTAGTTGGTGCCTTTACATGCCAACATTTGTAGTCTAACCACCTCATTTGGTGTTTTTAAGTTCTCTTTTCTTGTTCAGTGAGAGAAATCTAGTCTCTGCTGGGCTTTAACGAGTGCATCAAAGTCAGGTTGAATGTCTGAGGTGGAGATGCGAAGCACAGCTGACAGATGATCATCAGTGAGAGAGGATCTATACCTGGATTTCGTAAACTTCATAATTGAAAATGTTTGTTCACATATGTATGCGTGTCCATGCACTCGTTTACCTCCGTGAACAGATCGCTCCCTGTCGTCGTCCCTTTCATCGACCGCATTGCTGCCAGCTCCTCCGTAATCT